GAATTTGCAAAGCATCTTTTATCAGACTTTCCAAAACTTTACCCACAACTGACTTAAGGCTAACAGGCTTATAATTACTGGGACAATTTTAATCTCCTCCCTTGAAAAGAGGAGTAACGTTAGCCAACTTCCAACCTTCTGGCACCTGCCCATTATTCAAGGACTTGCAAAGAATAGTATCAAGTGACTCACATTTTCATCCCTTAACCTCTTTTTTAAAACCTTTGGGGAGACATTATCTCTCAAAAACATAAACTGTCAACATTGCAATTTACTTCACTAATAACTGGAGTTCCCCTATGTGTTTTAGAAAAAGAACGATTTCACTAACATTGTTGTTAGTTCTTTACACTGAATACTGCAACATGTGGATACGAGATTACTCAAATTAATACGTGGATCCCTCTGGTGATGAATGGTACACAAATAAATTGGCAATTTGAGAGTTAATACTGAAAATAATGTATTAACCCTCTTTCATGATTTACCAGAGATAACTCGGACATCCTCAAAAAATGTTTGCTTTTAATTTACTTTATCATGTATTACAATCAGTGCTCACTAGATGGCATCAGAAATGCTGTTTGTGCCATATCAGATTTATTCTGAATTATGTGTCGTAAACACCCGAGAAAAGCATTCTTATTTATTACTGTAGTTTCATTGAACTAATATATGTGATGTATAAATCCAGATAATATATTTAACATTTATTTATTGAGTATATTTGATGTAGAAATATAACAACGGATCATACGAAACTTTTGTTCCAGTAATATACAAGTGTAGGCCATCAAAAAAGTGAAATAAAAATATGCTTGGAACTTATTTCCAAAAAAAAAAAAAAAAGCCTCAAAAAAAAGAAAGGTTAAAGAAAGCTAAAATGACCTTACAAATTGTATGACATTTTTCAAACTGTGACAACTTCACCAAAAAACACAGGAAAAGTTTTTTTTCAACATGGATTGGTCTGATAGTATAGCCTAAACGAGGGTTAAATAAAACTAGAATTTACAGTGTAATAATTTCAGAAAAATAAAATCGCAATACCAAATAAATGTATAAATATATACACACAAAATGTTTTGTTACCACCGCTTCAAGTTATACAACTTTTTATTTAACTGTAACCAACGTGAAACTGGACTGTACTAGTGCATTAACCAAGTAGTATTTCATACTCTACTGGCTGATCTGATCCTCCTACACGACATTATGGTCTATCTTTGCATCAACAAAACTATGCTTACATTTTCAATTTAACTACAATAAATATTTTAATGATCTCTGCTCCACCAATCATGACCCATTTGTAAGTGTAATAAGGTTTAGAAAATTGGACTACATTTTGGCATACTCTACTTTTCTTGAGCGCTCTTCCTTAATGTCAGAGCCAAATCTCAGGTTATTAGCTGTACATCTTGTAATTATTATAATTACTCATTTGTATTCTTAAAACACGTATCTTTTATCATACACACTTTTATTTTTATACTAAATAAATGACTACTATCTAAAATGGTGTTATGCCTTTTAAAACTATTTTTCATTAGCCAACTTTCCACCTATTTGGGTCACCCTCATCAATAAGTGGGGAAATAACTAAAATTCTCTCATTTCTGTTGATGGAAAAGTTTTTACTGATACTGTTTTTGTTTTCATTCTATTACCCCTTGTAGCTATTGTTACACCACCAACTACAAGTCCGTGTAACAGCAATAATTGTGACATTATGTGTATAATATATATATATCGAATTACACACGAGTGCCATAGTTATTCTGTATGTGTCATGCACTGCCACGTGATTCACTAGTTACGTCATCTGAGTTTCGACGGTAAAAACACATATTGGAAACAAATGCTCGGCTCATATTTGCTAATATGCCTCTGGATGATATTTTAAAAAATGACTAAATAAACGTGGTTGCAGTTGTTCATGCAATAACGACTGATGAAAACCTTGTTTTATATTCTCCAAACAAATCGTTTTAAGAAAATTCCAACAATCGTTCCAACGAATGAGTCAGTCAGCGAGAGGAGAAAGTTGAACCGATACGGGTTGTTAGTCCAGACCACCTTGCTCAAGGTCAAATCGCCACGTTCCTGTACCCTAGACACCAACGGCCTTTGCTGTGCGATTACTAAATCCTTGATATTAAATATAAATTTGAAATTATTTGAATTTGTCGTTCAACCTTAGGAGTATGCAACAATTTTCAAGAACTAGCCGTAACTAAGTAAGTTTACGCTACTTATTATTTGAGTCAAAACTTCCAATTAGTCTCGAAACTCGCTGATACAAGTAAAGGCCCATTTATTTGATTTCAAACAGTTTGTATTCGATGTGCTTGATAGCTGAAGACCTAAAAATATTGTGTTCTATCAAACGTGTACACACAGGTACATAAATTGTACCTGTACATTACAATGGGATAAGTGAAGCCCTAGCGGCAAGAAGTGACAAAAAACAACGTGTTTTCCGTAAGTTGCGATCTGTAACATTAACTTCTCTCATGTGAAAAAAAATATATACTTACATAAATGGATACAAAAGAAATTGTAAAATAAATAAAAAAACTGAGCTAGACACATGTTCTTACCTTTGATCTCATAAAAAAAGCGACAGCCCATCCACAGACAAAGACAGTGACCATACCCAATAATCCACACATGTCATCTCCAAACAGAGTTACCGCTCACAATACGGTGGCCGCCTCGCATAACAGGTGGTAGGCCTAACCCTTATCCAATCACTTCCTATAAGCAAAACCGCACGTGCACAATATAAAGATGTCGCACTTGGTTCAGTACAATATATATAGTTAAAGCTAACAGCTCAAAGCGTGAGTCGTTCTAAAAACGAATAGTTTACGGTCGACCAACCAGCAAACTTAAGTCCAGTAGAGGCTTTGAACAAATTAAGGTGGGTGACGGGACATAGGGTAAACTAGCCTGACGTCATAGACAAATTGAATAAACAGAGTAACGTCTAGTAGTGTCGATAAAAAGTTTAGTTGGAATAGCGTGGTCGGGTTATTATCCCCCTCTTCAACACAAGTATTTAA